ATTCGCCACCCCCACTCTCTGTCGTCGCCACAGGCAGCACATGCTGCCAGCACGTCATGTTTTTGGATTTGGTGATTTTTGGGCAATCCTCGAGTTGCCAGCAGCGAATCGAAATGTAAACAAGGCTGCGCCGTTGCTGTGCGAAGCTTCACATATCATTTTACCGTTTCAACGCGACTTGGCCAGCGGGCAACTTTTAAAACTGTTCTCAACTTTGCACTCGGTTTGAATTTTGTTCAGCTGCCTTGCGCTCAACACGTCTGACTTACAGCGTCGCCACAACACGAATGTCAGGTGTGCGTGGATTCCGGCTCCATTTTGTCTGCTCCTTGGCTGGCCAAATCGACGACGGCCTGCCCGAGCGTAGGCGCTCAACGAGCGCGCGAGAGAGACAGTGAGAGTCCCAGTCGGAGAAAAAGTCCCTTTTACCGTTATTATTTCGAGGAACAGCCCTGCCAACTCGCTGGCCGCAGAGTTGCTCGACGGCAGCTGCCCGAAGCCGCGCAGAGTTGCAAACGCCCGCATTTACACTGCGCAAAAGCGGAACGAGCTTTCGCTAGCTCGCCAGCAACTGTAACGGCTAAGCCGGCATAAGGATAACGATGATGGTAATCACACAGGCTGCTCAAGTGTCCACTCATCGCTCGAGCCAATCAGCCTCATCAATCTGCTCTCAACTCTTTGCATTTTAAGCGAACATACGGCCACTCAGGCCGAACAGAGCGCCTGCATGTCGCAAGGACCTCAAGTGCGACAAATGCTCGAGCAGCCTCTCAAGGTGGCCAAATTACCGCCGCAGGTCGGCAGACCCAAACTCATAATTAGATATCATCGCTGTCTAGCAAGAGCTGCAAGAGCAGCTGCCGCGGGCGCAGCCCGCAGAAAGTGCTGCACATCGCAGTGCCGCTATGCGGCCGATCGTGCACCAGATGCGGGCTAGCCAGCAAAGGTATTTATGTGCCTGTCCATGGCCATGCCCATATTCCTGTTGTGCGCCCTGTGTCTCGTGCCAAGGTGCAAATGCCGTTTCACGAGCTGAGATATCAGTTTACATGCCGCGTTTTATTATTTCTGAAACCCAATCGGCACACATTTTTATGACTCCGCCTGCCCTGGCTGACTTTTTGTGGACACACCCGCGTTGCAGTATTCAATAACCAGGCGAAGGATGGATGATGCTGCACCCCTGTCAGTGCGCTGCTGCAGGGTGAGGGTAGGTTTCCTTTTTTGTTTCGGCATGATTTTACATAATTCCAACACCCTTCGCTTGCTGTGCGCACTGAACTTTCGCTCCGTGCAGGACATCTACTAATAGTATATGGCTCTTTTGACGCTTTAAATTGATTCACGCCGCGCACGCATACGATGGGCTGCTGCCCCACCCACAGCTCAACGCCGGCTGTCGGGCTTTTTTCAGTGCCACAACAATACCCTGTAATTTATTACAGCATGCAAGGGATATTCAGATGCATCAGAGATATTCAGAAACTCCATTAAATTAAAACTATTTGACATCCTAACAAATTTTTAATAATAATATGAATGGAATATATTCTTAAGGGTTTAAAGATCTATTCTTTTGATAAGAATATTAACATTTTAATATATATTAGAAATGTAACGTAACTGCAGCCAGTATTCCAAGCCATTTTAAAATAATTAGAATAACCCTTAAGGCTAAAATATCTAAAAGACAAATGGAAAAAAAATTATATTATAGCCGGAACCTTCTCTCTAAATAGAATTTAACCTAGGATTTAATTTCCTATTTCATTATTCGATCCTTTCTCGCTCTCTTTTTATCTCACTCTCTGATATTTGAGAAAAATCCGTATAGCACACCCAAAATTATACACATCCTCATTAAATACAGGCTCTATTTTTCTCTTTCTCTCTCCCTCTCTCTCTCTTTCTATCTCTCTCACTTTCTCAACTAATGTAAAGATGCATATGTAAACTTGAATTACACATAAATTTAATTATACTTTTTTTTTTAATTTTCTGATATGTATTTAAGTTCCTTTTTTAGGTGATCTTTGAAGGATATCCAATAGTCACGACACTCTACTGTATTATTCGTGTTAGTTTTCCGTGCTGTCATGCATTTGTGTTTGATTAAACATTTTTTACGCACTTCCGTTCGGGGCATCATTAGTTGGCGTGTTCAGCGCGTTTTGGTCCAGCAGCGCACCACCCCCGCCCCCACAGCGCAGCCCGGCCCAGCCCAGCGAAGCCCAACCCCGCTCGGTACGCACCCCTTGCTGAGGCATTTCCTTCTCGCAGTTGCTCTTGTTGTGTGCTTAGGCGCAAGTTGCATCTGTCCACTTCCGCTATTGAAGTTTCATGCATGAGAGTGTGTGTCTATGTGTGTGTGTGTGTGTGTGTGTGTGTTTGTGTGTTTATATGTTTGTTTGGATATTTGTTTTAGTTGCTTTAAGTGCTGCCTAGTGGAGATCGATGGCCCATGTCAATGTCCTTTAGTGGCATTTCATTACATCTGCAGCGTTGTTGATGTCGCTGCCTCTGCCTCTGCCTCTGCCTCTGCCGACGCTGCTGCTGCGGTTTTGTTTACCCATCAGTTGCAGTTACTTTACGAGCCATCAAAAATGGTCATTGAACATGATGAGAAAATTGCCAAGACACAAAGATAGTGAAACGCCTCCTTCATCATCGTGAATAGACAGAAAACCAATTCCCGTTTCAGTTACCATGGGGGTCTCGATTCAACCCTCCGTCAAATGGAAAGCCCATTGTCAGGCGTGTGCACGAGCTGGATGTGAGGACTTCATATAAGAAGTGTTTACTAGCGCCACAATTATAAAGTGATTACCCACCAGTTGTTGTTGCCCTTAAAGAGGGCAGGATTGCCTAGCAACCCATATTCAATTTTATAGCCATATAAACTGCGCATTGAGTTCCAGAATTTTCTCAAATTTTCCCGTTTTTTTTTTTTCAGTTTTATTTAATATGTTTTTTATTCCAAAATGTACAATTTCTCAAAATAGTTTATAAAAATATTACGTATAAAAATAGTTACATATATGTATATAATATTATTCGTCAGATTTATGGTAGAAAATCCAATTCGTTTTGTTATTGTAAATGCACTGCGCGCAGACAAAAACGTCGAGCACAAGTCGTTGTAAACTTTAGGCTTAACACTTAGTATCACAAGATCTCACTTAATAGTTAGATATGCTTATCAGTGATATATTACGTATCGCTAGTACATGTATAAATATAAATATATATATGTATATGATCTATATTGTAGATTGAGCGAATTTTTCCCATTTTCGTTGTACTCTGCGGTTACAACCAATTGCATTGCATTCTACAGACTAAGGAACAATAGCGCTGTGATATTGCTCGGATTTTGTTTCGATATTGCTTAAGAGCTAAGAGTTGACTTGTAAGTACACAACCGCGGGTTCTGTTGTTGCCTCTGGCCAAGTAGACGTCTTATATGTACAGGTTTTTCTTGTCTATAGCTTAAGTTGTACTCTTTAAATACTTTTACTGGTAGTGAAACGCTGGTTCAATGTCCGTTTGTTTTCTTTTCTTTGTGGCGTAAACTAACCTAACCAAAAGAACTAACTAGCTAAGTGAACTAAACTAAACTAAACTAAACTTAATTGATGCTGAGTTATTGCCTCAAATCTTAGTGTCCTACAAAATGACTAGAGTTCACACTCGACTTTGGTTACCAGCTCAGAGACTGGATTTCATTGCTTAGTTTAGATTTTTGGTTTCTTGTTTGGTTTTTTGGTTTGCTTGAACTTACGACTAGTACTGCACAATTTCGCCTGAATTTCGATTTTTGTTTTTGAAATTTTGAAAAGAGAAAATAATTGAAAAATAAACAAATTGAAATGCCTTGTTCCTAAAGTTAAACTAAAACTGCATACGCAAGCGATTATATTAATGGGATGCCAAAAAAGTTGACTAGAGGAATGCCTAAATTAGTGACTAGATGGTGATGTATGAATGAGCGTGAAGGTAAATGAATCGAATGACTAGATAATGAAAAATTAATGACTAGATGTACGAATGATGTGAATTGGAAATATGGTTAGAGAATGAAATGGAATAATTGACAATGAGGATGATAGTTGAATTAAGAGTTGAGTAAAGTTAAAAGGAAAATGTGATAGAAGAAATTGAAAACTTGGTTAGAAATATTGATAATTTATAGAAATTGATCAAAATTGATAAATAGATAGAAAATTATAGATATAGAAATTGATAGAAATTAAAGTTATCAAAGATAGATGAGTTTGGATTACTTAGTTCTATGGCTTAGTATTGACGTTTGAATTATTGTTAAATCAAGATTCTTTGGTTTGTCTTATTGCCTTTTGTTAACTGAAAGCTGACTAGAGCTTAGACTAGAACGTTTAGATTCCTGGTAAATCAAGATGCTTTGGTTTGGTTTATTGCCTTTTGTTAACTAAAAGCTGACTAGACTTTATCTAAATGACTAGAGGTTTACTGACTAGATGAAGAGTGCCTTGGCTTGCTCTGCAATGAGAACCATTTGCCTTGCGCATTTCCAATGAGATCTTATTGAAGCTGACTGACTAGTGCCGATTGAATTACTGGACTGACCACACAAATAAATCTAATAATGTATACTCTAAAGATTAAACTAAAACTAGGCTGACTAGACTGATTGCCGTCTTTGGTTCGAGTGACTAAATACAACAGTGGAATGCCGATTGAAGTATAGAGCTGACTAGAATTGAACCCATCATAAGATAAGAACTAAACGACTACGAACTGAGAGATACAACTTTTAGTAACTAAACTAGAGTAAACTCAATCAAAGTTGAATTTGGAATGTAAAAACTAATTTCTTTGGTCTGTTTCAGCTGCAGTTCCCTCTAAACAAGAGACGAATTAAACACTAAACTTAACAATAGGGGATTATGAACAAATTATACAGTTGCCAGTGGGCCCAGGTGTGCCCCTCTCTCCCTCTCTCTCTCTCTCTTTCTTACTGTCCCCCACTTACTCAGTGCGCCATCGTCGTGTGCTGGATGACAGAGGCGCAGTTGCGGAGATTCGTCAGGGCAGCAGCCGCAATGCTCTCCTCCTCGGTCAGGCCGTGCTCCACGATCTGCAGTCGGCCGTACCCTGCGGAGGAGGTCGAGGAGCTGCAGTCAGACAAGTAATCGCCGTCGTAGTCGTAATGGCTGCTGCTCGCTCCAGCCACGTAGACGCCCTCGTCCTCGTGCGTGCCCGTGTAGGAGTGGGAGCTGCTGCTCGCCGAGCTGGAGCTGTTCGATTTGTAGACCGTCGTCTGGAAGCTGCCAGTTATCGTGGTGGCTGCCTCCGGCTGTCGTTCCGACTCAGAGTCCGGCTCAGCCGGCCGCGTCTGTGTCTTCTTGGCGTGCGTCAGCTGATGCTTGCGCAAGTAGGCGGCCCGCTTGAACTTCTTGCCGCACTCGGCGCAGTCGAAGGCGAGCTCGGCTGACTCGGCTGGCTTCTTGGAGGCGGTGGGCTGTTGGTGCTGCTGCTCCTGGTTGCTGGTGTTGCGGTTCTCCTTCTTGGCAGCGGCCGCCTCCTTCTTGGGCTTGTGCCAGCGCCGATGCGAAGCCAGGTTGGCGGGGCAATTGAACTGCTTGCCGCACTCCGGGCAACGGTACTCGAGCAGCACGATGCAGGCGCAGCGATGGCGCGCCAGGCCGAAGGCATCGTCGAATTTGATGCGGCACAGCCGGCACACATAGTCACCAATTACGTTCTTAATGGCCGCCAGCTCCGCCTTGGTCTCCTCGGTAATCTCGACAATATTGTACTTGGGATCGATGTCGCCGTTGCTGTACTGCATCGTGCCATCGGTGATGTCCTCGAGTGGCCTGATTATGGTCCCCGAGACGGGCGAGCTGGTCTCCTCGTCGAACTTTAGCTTGCGCGTTGCCTTATTGCGCGTCGATTTGCCACTCGACGTGGATGCTTTACTGGTTCGCGGCGCCGTGTCCGAGACCTTAATGGGCTTGGCGGGCGTGGCATCTACGGGCGCGACGGGACTCACGTCTGATTTGGCCAATTTGGCAGCGGGCAGGCATTCGCTTTGTTCGCTCAGCTTGCGCTTGAGTGAAGCCACTGCCATTTCAACTGGAACGGGATCTGCAACTGGACTTTGTGGCGGTGTCATGGCCTTCTCTGTAGTGACGACCTCCTCGTGCGCCACCTCCTGCGCCAGCTCCATCAGCTCGGTGGCTGCAGTCGCCGCCTCTGTTGGCTCGCTGGGAACCTCGGCGAGTGCGGTCGCCATTGGCACATCACCGCCCGGCACTGGCGATGGCGGTTTCACAGACAGATCCAGTGGAATTTCACACTTGGTTTTAATGTTCAGATAACGGCTGCGATACTTGGGCGGCAGCGAGGCCACTGTGGTCAGCAGCCCCAGGCCGTGAGGCAGTCCGCCAGCCGTTGCATTGTGCAGCAGCTGAATGCTGTGTGTATGTGGGTGTTGGTGTGGGTGTGGGTGTGAGTGTGAGGTGGGGTGGGCGTGGTGGCTGTGGTTGGCTCCTGCCGGCTGATGGTTGGCAACACTGGCCATTGCACTGTTCCGCGTATCAACGAAATGATGATAAACTGAAACTTGAACGCGCTTTAAGAACTGGATTGGAACGATAAACGGAAACGGGGATCGGTAAACGGTGAATGGACAACGATGAACGATGAACGGTGAATGATGAACGGAGAACGGTGAATGGTGAACGGTGAACGGTGAACGGTGAACGGGAGGAACAAAGAGTTGAAGAACTAAGCAAAACTTAACAACAAATTGAAACGTTGGCAACGTTGAGCGCTCCTTTGGCTGCTTCCTGTCGGCTCGACGTATTTGCTGCGAATGACTAACAGCATATCCTGCCGCCGCTATTTATGTGTGCCAAAGGAAAGCGAAATTAAAATCATTGTTTGTGTGTTGTGACGGCGTCGCTCTTGGAAATTTCATCCCCCAATTCGAGTCGTTGTCCTTTTAGCCCTCGCCGCTGCTGCCTCGCTCTGCCGCAGTCGACGCCTGGCATTGGCGCTGGCAGCGACGCTGCCGCAAAGCCGGAATCTTTTGTTAGCAATCACACACATTAGTCACCCTTTTTTCCATACAGCCAGGCAGCCAGGCAGCCAGCCAGGCAGACACACACACACACACACGCAGTTAGGCGCGGGGGGAGCAGCAGCAGCAGTTGGCAGTGAAAGTCCTTTGCACTGTGCCCTGCCTGCACTTGGAGAAATCATTGTGTAGCTATTCTGTGTTGCAGCTGTGACTCAGGTTCCGAGCTGCCACGCACCCAAAAAGGACACGCGACAGGAACTGCAACACATGTTCGCGTCTGGCTTGCAAATACTCTGATTCATGGAAATTTGGCAAGGCACAAAAGATCCCTTTGGATCCTTTCTGTTGATCCTGGCGAACAGCTGATAGCCATGAAACCGGCGGTAAATGCGAAATGTGCGCACGACCAGAAACTCAATGGGCCACAATGACCTGAAGTATGCGAGATGCCACATTGTGCTGCCTTGTTGTGCAGCACTCTTAAACATCTGCGGCCATTCGAAGCATTTTCATGCGCAGCGGGCGCTAACTAGCCTGTAAGAAGGATCTGTTGAAAGGCTATGCTCAACGAAATTGCACCGAATGAGACAATTTAATTCATATCGTTAACCTGCCCATTTGTCGTTTAGTTTTAAATGTGTATATTCACTAATCGCACGATAAACATGATCAGAGAGATGCGCCGTGAGAAGGTGTAAAGACCGCAACGAGGTAAATACCGCATTTTTAATACACACATAAATATCTTGTCATTTAGACGAATTGCCGCTCTTAACTCACAATATTCTAAGTCTTACCGAACCCAATTAATACTTTTAGCATCTAAATAAATATGATTCAGCTATCTTTCTGCTAAAAAAATCATTAAATTACAATTAATAATTACTAATGATGATTAATATAAATTAGTAATATATAAAATAGCTTGGAGCACGCATAAAACACTTTTTATATGCTTTTAATAATTATTAATAGAAAAGAATTTTTTTAATTTAATAGACAGAAAGTCTTAAAAAATAAATTTTTCATCATAGTAAATTCAGAATTTATAAATTTAGATTTTTTATTTAATAATGCCCATCCCTTCCCAGCATTTGTACTTTATTTATTTGTTTTTAATTGATTGCAAGCTAATTTACAAAGGTATTGGAAAATACAAAATTTTAAAAATTAAATAAAGTAAAAAATTGTCTTCCAGTAACATTTATAATACATATGTGTGTATATCTACAGCTAAGTTCATTTATTTTTGGCAGCATTAAACCAGAGGTATTTAAACATGATCGTAATCAATGTAATTAATGAGATTTATTAACTTTTACAGTATAGTTTTAATTAATACAAAATATATATTATTATTACCAGAGTATAGTAAATAATAGACGTAAAGTTTCTTCTCTTTTCCACGCAAAATCCCTTTAACATATTTTTTATGAGATATTACATGTGTAATTTCTCTGCGTGTATTTGTTTGGCCTTTGGTGCATTTTCAGGTTTTCATTTGGCTATGGCTCCGGCTCTGGCTGTGTCGACGACTTCAGCTCCGCTCCCGCGCCCGCTCCTGCTCCCGCCCCGTGCTCACTACGCATAGACGCCGCACACAGGCACAGACGCAGCCCTGCTGTAAGCTTGTCAAGTTTGCTTTTGGTGGGGTAGGCACATAGCGCRCACACACACAGACACAGCTTGGTTTGCTCAGCCACCACAAAGCGATTGTCAGAGTGCTTGGAGTGTATGTGCGCGCGTGTGTCTGTGTGTGTGTGTGTGTGCTTTGCATTAATATAATCGAAATGCGACGCCGTTGCCGGCGCTGTCCTCGTGGTTGCCATGAAAGGGAATGCACTTTCGATTCCCCGTGAAGGGCTTTTGGCCGTACCGCTCGCACCAAACACAAATATGGCATATTATGTTCAATATGACGCCATTGTTGCTGTAGCTGCTGCTGCTCTGCTGCTGTTGTTGTATTACGGTAGGCACGTGCGTGGCAATAGCAACGGCGCTGTCACCACCCCAATTGGGTTTAAAGTATTCCCAGAGCGACAGCAGCATTTGCTTTTGTCGATCGTGGCGGGGTGGTGACCCCTTCGAAGCAGGAATCTGTGTTTGCCATGCAGCTTAGAATTAATAGCACACGCACCGAACGGACCAGAGAGCTAAGAGCTGAGAGCTGAGAACTGAGCCCTCAGTGCTGCGAGCTCAGAGCTGAAAGCCGAAAGCTGAGCGAAAAGCAATTCGGACAGAAGTGCGCCGGCCACGCGAGCAGCAGCCGCCCAGCGTCGCCGAGCCAGGACCAAACGAAAAATTCCAACCCTGTTTGCAATCCCAAACCCAAGTCGCTCATCAGTCAGTCAGGCTGTCATCTACAAATGCTGCGTTATTTGCAGCTAGAGTCGCACTCGCACCTCGATTCGGCATATTCCTTTGACTGCTCGGATTTCTGCGCTCCAAGGCGCGCTTAGCTCAAATTCGCACTCAACAACACCCAGGACGACCCGAGATGACAGTGCTGCCCCCACCCGCCACTGGGTCGACTGGGCTACGCATTTTGTTGTTTGTCGTTTGTTGTTTGTTGTTTGTTGCTTGCTCATTGCTAACCCTTAAGTGCATCTTTTTATGGTAATTTCAAGTGCAGCCCCAGCCCCACTGCAGAATGCATCTGTTATCCTCCCTACCTGCCTGCCAGCCTGCCTGCTTGGCAATAATTAATGTTCGAAAATGCATCGTTTATGTGGCATAATGCATTCGCATCTGTGTGTCTCAAAAGGCTTTTCAGCCGCCATGTACTTTTGCTTGGGCAGCTCCTCAAGGATGCTCCACTGTAGCACATGTTGCCATTGCCGCAGGCACACACACACACCCTTTGGTGTGGCCCATCTGACGAGGGGGAAGAGCACGGTTGAGATGTAATTAAATTTTTGCTTTCATAATTTGATGCAATTTTTGTGTGCGGCACGCAAAAATTGAACGGAAACTGGCTGGGATTTGGTCTAATACCCTAGATCTATGCAAAATGGGTAACAATGGGGTATATTTCGTGCGCCCAAAGGAACAGATTGCGCAACATCAAAGCGGATAGTCTGTAGTCGGACGTTTTTCCAGTAGACTATTTATTTGAGCAAGAAATGATTCCTCAATTATGTCTTTTATATATACTCATATCTATGGCTAAGTTCATTAAGACAGATGGCATAAAAGTCGATAATCTGTAATAGAGCTTGTTTTGCTGATTATTAGCGAAAACCCAAATCATTGATATTGTAAAGATCTTCTACTACTCTTAGTACCACTACTTCTACAACTATTAGCAGATATTAATGATATTGCTAATACTAATACTATAACTAATGCTAATATTGTAACTAATAATAATACTATTTATACTACTTAATCGAAAGGAAATCATATTTACATATTTGGAATTTTACTACTTCTGACTAATCTTATCAGATGTTCTCCTGAATCAATATTATATTATTCAATATATTATTAATCAATATCATAATATTACTCTATTTTAGTATAATAGAGCAACAGAATGTGCATATTTTCATAAGAATATATCACTTTTCCTAATAAGTGGAAAGCAAACCGCATAAACACACACAATTTAAACACTTTCATTTAAGGGCTCACATGAAGTGACTTGAAAGATAACACTAATAGTCGGAGGTAGCAAAGATTGCAAAATGGAGTACTTATACGATGCAGTTGTAAACTTACCAGCATTGATAAGATGATAAGTTCAGCAACAATTTGCAATATTTACGTTTGCTATTAAGACTTTTCCACTTTTTCAAAGAGATACTCTATATATTGAACATGATAACTTATTCCAAAAACGAGCAACTTTCTTAACATTGGCGTGTCTTAGGTATCTATCTCCACTGGAACAATGATAAGAGATGACTGAAAAAATTTTATTTTATTTATTTACTTATTTTTTGTGTATATGGATATTCCGGCGGCATATCAATGCCGTGAAGAGTATTTAGAAGTCAGGCAGAGCCACGCAACTGGCTTTAACTTTCTTTTTAATTTCAGTGTGAATTGTTCTTAATTGTTTTTCAGTTCATTCTAGATTTTTTCGAGTGGCATATGGCAGCCATTAGAACAGGTTCCCAGCTGGCTGCGTCGCACCAATTAACAGCGATTTGAGTGGAGCTGGAGCTGATTGCTAAGAGAGATTTTGGTATTGGAGGCTTTGTGAGCTAACTAACTGCCTGATGCAAATATTTTTCAAAAGCATTTTTATTTTGAGCGCGAATTATTCAATTTTTGCAGCCTTTGACTAGTATCAAATGGCTTTACAGCTCACGGCAATTTACCGAATTGGTATGTAAAGTGGGATTAGATAAACAAAAGCAGAAAAATATTAAATTGGAGCACTGTTGGAGAGAAGTCAATTCTCGTAAAAGTTCCCTGATCCATTTACAAATTCGCCCCTTAAAAGGCAATTAAATCAGAGTCCCATTCTGACAGCGAGTATTTAATTATGAACGAGGCTGCATGGGCACGCCGAAATTTAAGTCAGGATAGGATTAAGGAATTTGCACTCTAATCCACGCCAAATACAAACAAAAGCCGCATGACTAACCCCCATTTGGACGGCGCCCTGCAAATTGGCCAACTGAATAGAGGAAAGCAGGAACAGCCCATGAGCAATAATAATTATGTACTAGATGTGCTCTATTCCCATTTGCACATTGAATTGTGTGTGAGTCAAGGCGAAATGCATGCATTCGTTTATTTACGCGCCGCAGGACACTCGCGCGCACACACACACATGCATGCGTTCATAACTCGTCA